GAGGATGGTGGCCACTTTACATTGTTTCCTAGGAAATTCCCCTATTCCCAACAAGGGCTTTGCATACTCTACTGGGGGCTGTTACTTGCATTACTTGTACCTTATAAGTATCAGATAGTCTAGTTCAGTGGTCGGCAAACTCATTAGTCAACAGAGCCAAATATCAACAGTACGACGATTGAAATTTCTTTTGAGAGCCAAATTTTTTAAACTGAAACTATATAGGTAGGTACATTGTTATTAACTTAATTAGGCTACTCCTAAGGCTTAGGAAGAGCCACACTCAAGGGGCCAAAGAGCCGCATGTGGCTCGCGAGCCGCAGTTTGACGACCATGTGTCTAGTTGATAATTTTGTAGCTAAATTCAAGAAAATGAGCTAAATAAACTGGACTTTATTTTCTTAGCATTTGTCCCTTCAATGCAATTACTATCTACTTAGCTTCAATTCACAAATAACTTGAATCCATAGGTAAATCTCTATTTGATGGGCCCAATTTTAATAGAACCAATAGAATGATTGCTTATATTAAAAGAGTTAGCACAGCCCTGGCCGTGTAGCCAAGTTGGTTAGAGCATTGTCCCAATAAACCAAGGTTGTGGGTTCACATACAAGAATCAACCAATGAATTCATAAATAAGTAGAACAACAAATCAATGTTTCTCTCAAATTCATAAAAATAAAAGAGCTAGCACAATGCTTGTTGCCATTCTGCACATGGTTAGTGGGAAGGCTAAAGTGATGGCTGTAGAAAGGTTTTATATTTGCATTTAAGTCTCAAAAGTAGCTTTTTAATCATTACCAAAATGATTTTTTCTTCACTGATTGGCCAATGATTAGTGTTATTATTACTCAGTATTGTTATATCTCTGTTTTTCCTAAATGAAAAATCCATACTGGCATCAGAAAACCTAAAAAGCTTGTTACAGATTCAGATTACTGCCCTCCATCCCCCTTCCCTATCTGAATCACAATATTTGGTGGAATTTTTTTTGCACGTGTGTGTGTGTGTGTGTGTGTGTGTGTGTTGAAAGCTCCCCAGGAGGTTCTGATGCATAAAGCATAGAACCTTGGTATAGATAAAACCAACTGGTTGCCTCACTTTTCACATTTCAACAGTCAACTCTATGTAAGTCCTACTTTAGTTTGCCCACAGTTGTTTCCAGTCTCATAAGGCAAATTAAGTCTCGGTACTTAGCAAAGTTTCTTTGAATCCTTGTACAAAGGGAAAGTTCTATTATTGTCATAATATCACAGTCTAACGAGTAAAATGAAAATTACAACTGGATGATAAAAATGGAACTTGATACTAGGGTTTTCCAATGACAAGATTAGCATTTTATTTTTCTATTCCTGACAATCAAATTCATAGGAGGTGAAGAGATAATAGAACATAAAAATAACATACAAACACAATTCAAGAACATTTAACCATCTATTGTAGTGTTCTTTTTAAAATACATCAAGGTAAACAGAAATATCTTTATATAAATTATGCTTAACAATCTGTATACACTGTAAAACAACTGTTAAAATTCACACTAAGATACTAGTGCAAGCAGTGTACAAAAGTGCAAACAAGGTTAGTGATGAAAATTTATCACCACCTTACCACTTCAACATACTCTGCATTCAGCCAAATACTGAAGGCCTCACCATGGAAAACGCTTTGATCACTTATAAAACCACCAACTACATTCACCCTAGTGCTCTCGCCTCAGTATGGCAGCTGATTGCACTCAGGTTGGGAGCAGCACCAGGGAATACAGAAACCTGTGTAGAGTAGGCCATTCTGATGTGAATCCTTACACTTGACAATGAAAAAAATTCCAAAGACAACTTGTATGTCAAAACTATAGAACTGTCACCCCTTTTTACACTCCCCCCATTTTTGATATGTATTTTTGCCCTCCAAATTTTTTAAACTAAAATTAAACCTAATCCTCCTCCCCTATTTAAAATGCATGCTGAAGAATTCATCCACTCCAATGCAGCTTTTCCAAAAATTAATTCTGCGTAAAATCACACAAAAGCCTTTCCCATTTCTGCCCTAAAATCTATTTTGGGTGGGGGCACTTATAAAACAAAGTTGACTTTGGATAAGTTTGTTTACTTGACTTTGGATTCTACTTAAAAGTGTGGTCAAAGACCTGAATAATCAACCAGTGGTATTACATATATTAGCTACTCAATGTTCTAAATTCTGGGAACAAAAATTAGTTGGTTCCGAATTGCATCTTCAATGGACTGTGGATTTCCCTTCATCCTCGGGAGTCTTTGTATCCAGGTGTGGAGTAGAGGTATGTGAGGGGGGATGGTTCAGGAGTAGTAACTTGGTTTTAACAAAATCCCGATCACTTTACACAGAGGCACAGTCCTCTATTACAAGAGCTTGCTCATTTTCATTTTATTACAAAGCACTGATCTACTTTTCAACAGGACAATGATGGAAATAACCAGAAGCATCAATGTGTAGCTTTGAGAACTTAGTCCTTCACTGAAAATAAATTGTTTTCTGAATCCTCTTGTTTATAGCAAAATATTAAATGTTTATAGAAAGCCTTTAATTTCCTATTAATTTTAAATTAAGGAATTTGTACTTGCTAGTCTCTATTTTCATGCTTTCTTGGAGATTTTTCTTCACTAACTTTTATATGTTTAAAATAATCCAAACATTACCCTCTAAAGAAAATGAAAACAAGATACTTTGAAAGACTTTCCTTTAAATTAGCTATTCTCGGTGTACTATGGTCAAATTTATTTGGCAATAAGTTCTTGCAAACTTCAGACACGTAAGTGACTAACAAGACTGAAATGCTACCCTGGCTGGGTAGCTCAGTTGGTTAGAGCATCATCCCAATACACCAAGGTTGTGGGTTCAATCCCAGGTCAGGGCACATACAAGAATCAACCTATGAATGCATAAATGAGTTGAACAACAAATTGATGTTTCTCTCTCCCCTTCCTCTCTAAAATAATAAAGACTGAAATGCCACATTGAGTCACATACCAAATACAGTTTTAGGAAATGTGAACCTTTCCCCGGAATCTCTCAAATCACGTCAACTAAGAAGTATACTGTTTCTGATGGTAGTACTTGTGAAAATGCTGGTTTGTTTGTTTGTTTTGAGATATTTTTTAGAGGGAGAGCAAATGAGAGGGGGAGAGAGATACATCAGCTGCCTCCTGCACACCCCACATCGGGGATCGAACCTGAATCCAGGCATGTGCCCTGATCGGGATTTGATGCATGGGGTGATGCCCAACTGAGTCACACAGGCCAGGATGAAAATGCTGGGTTTTGAATGTGGTTGATCAAATCATTTTGCAGAAGGCAAGAGTAACTGTGTATTATTGCAGCTATTACCCTATTTAATGATTTATAAGTAGTTTCTGTACTGGAAAACACTATAGAGAAGGGTAAGCCAGTTGAAAACAGGAAAAGAAACAATGTTCTGCTTATATGTTGTAAACCACAATAAATTTGTCTATGTACACAGGCACACAAAACTAAAATTTAGATCTATGCAGGCAACATCTGAATTCATACATCTTTGGCACTCAAAGATACTGAGTTAACTAAGCAATGGTAAAGAATATTTTTTCATATCCAGTAGTCTCCCCTCTTATCCTTGGTTTTACTTTCTGAGGCTTCAGTTACCTGTGGTCAACCATGGTCTAAAAGTATTATATAGGAAATTCCAGAAAAAAAAAATCATAAATTTCAAATTTTGTGCCATTCTGAGTAAAGTAGTGTGATGAAATCTCATGTCGCCCCGCTCTGTTCCACCCAAGACATGAATCATTCTTTGTCCAGTGTATCACTCTGCATACACTACCTGCCTGTTAGTCACTAGTCTCTTAGTAGCTGGCTTGACTATGTATCACAGTGCTTATGTTCAAGGAACCCTTATTTTACTTAATAATGAGCCCAAAGCACAAGAGTAAGGATGCTGGCATTTCAGATATGCCAAAGAGAAGCCATAAAGTGCTTCCTTAAAGTGAAAATGTATGTATATATAGGACAAAACATAGTATATATGGCTCAGGACTACCTGGGATTTCAGGCATCCACTGGGGGTCTTGGAACTTCTCTCCTGTGGATAAGGGGGGTACTACTGTACTTTAGGAAATGTCTATGCCCCAATTTAAAAAATGCTGTACTCTCCATTCTAAAAATTTACTGAGATAAAAATAATAATAGAAATAAAAATTCACTAATATAAAGATAAGCTGAAATCTATCAATTTAACCAGTCACCCAAAAGTATAACTAACAACAGTCATTGAAGTAGGTATGGGGTTAAAGAATCTTTAGAAATATAAAAGTGGGCTAACACTTTGTATTTTTAGAGTTTTGGAATTAAGATTTTAAAACACCTTTTGGGCATCCTGATTTATATGGAACCGAATCTTAACTTGTATATAACAGTGTTAACAATTACATTTTCATACCTTACAGTGAGAGGTGCAAAGTTAATTTATATTCTTAATAGGACCATTTACACTCAACATACTTCCCAGGTGCACACACTCACGCAGGCACACACAGGGTATATGTTTTCCGCAAGTGCTTCTACTGCTTCTTGCCATCTCTTGAAGGGAGCAGGGACTCGGTGTGTGTGCTCCGAGGAGCTCTCAGAGCTGGAGTATGCCCAGTGGCTGGGGAACTCTGCAGCCCACGTCCCTGGCACTGGGGAGGCAGCCGGTTGCTGCTAAGTGCAGCTTCTTTCTAGAGGTTCAGGCCACATGAATCTTACGTCATTGGGAAAATATCCACAGTTTAGACGTGGTCCACAAAGTGACTTTGTTTCTTTGATCCCAGTGTCAGAACTAGAATAAGAATTCTGGAACGAGATATTGTGTACCAAAAAAAACATTTTTCCCCTTTAAAGAAACCAATAAAGCTTTTTTCTTTATACCAATTTATGAGACAAATAATTAACTTCTCAAGTATCACACTAGATATTAGGGAATACTTGAACTGAAGAAAGATACCATCAACAAGAGGCAGTTACTTTTAATAAGGCTTAGTTCTGTTAGTCATGCCGTCAGAAGTGAGGACTTTAAACAGCTGGCAAAATAAACCAACAGGCAGAAATGTTATTTTCTACTTTTCCCATGGTACTACTGATGTTTCTAAGCAGGGAAGAAGCTTTTATTTTCATTTGGAAGGAAGCTGAAAGTGAAATAGAACAGCCAAATCACTAAAACCCAATGTTATGTGAAGAAATGGCCTTGTTGGCTTAGCTCACTGGTAGTTCCTTCCAGTCATACTCCTCATCCTTACCTGCCTCATGTGTTAACATTACCGATGACAGGCTGTGGTGACTGATTTGGACAACAGCTAGAGAAAACACTAATTTTAATATTTAAATTATTCTTGATGGAGCCAGAGCAATCTATTTTCAATGGAATTGGTTAAATATACTATAAAATCTCGGTTTATAACCAAGAGAGAAATCTTAAGCTTGAGAGTCTTTAAATATATGTATTTGGCACTTAATCTTTCATCTTATTTTACTAATTAGTGGAACCTCAAATGGAAAAAAAAAAACACTCAATGTCTTAGGAAATTAAAATGTTTTTAAAAACTAACCAAAATTTTGTTAGTGAGTTTATCAGTGAGGTTTGCGGACACTATCACATGGCAAGTATTACATCTAAAAGTAAAAGCCTTTATGCTGTAATGTAACAGCTGGCTGAGAGCAACTAAGGAAAAGAAAAAAAGCATACACTTTCTTTCCAAGAAATAAAATATGACAAAGAATGCAAAAGAGCTCTGGGACAGGAGCAATATCTCCACAATTTCAATGACAACTGGAGCAGAACGGGCTTTCTTTTCCCACAGATTCACGGGTCCCTGCAATGAACTGCACAAGACCCTATTTGTCACTTGCTCTGGGAAGTGCCATTACGTATCAAGAGCCTGGGGAGTACCTCTAAATGCGGGGAGGCTGGTGCCTGTCACTACGTTTGGTGACCAGGCACAGATTACCAAACCAGGCATCAATAAGATTGGAGCACTTGAGAATTAGACAACTGGAATGGACCTATAGGGGCCTAGCAAACCAAAAACCAACCTGTGGTGTACCAGAAGATGTGCTTTTCTTTAGAAGGCCAATCCCATAGGGACTAGGACACGGACCCTATCAACACTGGGAATGGTAGTGTTCCTGATTAAAATGCACAGGATTCAGAGATAAAGTGGTATAAAGTACAATCAAACACAACTTGTCTCCTGGTAAATGCAAAAGTCTCTAGGAACTGAAACATTATTCTAAATATTCTGAAGCAATCTCCTTTCCCAACAACCACCTCATGTGTATAATATAAATATTCCATTTCAGAGCATACTAGCTAGATAAGACACATTAAAATGAAACATTTGTCCAACAAAGATGCCAAACATACGGGTCTATTTTATTGCATGACGTTTGCATAAGAAAAAATATTATTGAAACCTGTAAGGCATCATGCAATCATCAATAAGCTAATTATTAACTGTATACTTAAGATAGGTGGAGATATAATCTAAAATTTAAAAACTAGTTCCAAAAGTACATAAAAAATTTAACATGATGAGCTTTTAATTATAGTTTATATTTGTAGTTTCATATTGTTAAAAAGTGCTTCAAATGTACTGCTGAAAAGTTGCTGTTTATAAATGGCGCTGGGGGTCATGTCAGATTACAAACGGTAAAAACTAATTATCTTCATGGAATTAGAAAGCTAACATTGTGATATTCAAACTTACTTGAATCAGTTTTCAATTGTCACTCAAATTAAGTCGATATAGTATTAATAATCTAAAAAATATCTGTTTTCTAACCAACAAAAGTCTATTGAATTCAAGTTATGCATGTTCAACAATCAAATCTCTGAGTAGGCCTGAATGGCAAGACCTGGACCTGAGGCAGGTTGGTGGTGTTAGTCAATGTACTGAGCCATCCAGCGGAAGCCTTCTCCATAACCTTGCCTTTTGAGCACACTGCACATAAAAACTTCCAGTGGCCGGGCATTCAGTTCTTTCAGAGATACATTGCCCTAGGAGAGAAGACAAACATTATGCTGGATGGAACCTTTGTGGAATAAAAGCCCCACTCCCCAGCAGAATTATAGCTTATGTATCGTAGAACAAAAGGTGACTGGATAAAGCCACTTTAGGACCAAATGGGAAAAGGTGGGCTTGTGAGGCATACAAGAATGAAAATCATCTTTGACTGAGAAAAATTTCAAGTTACCTCAACTGGCTTCACAAACATTAAGGATGAATATTCTCTATGTAGGTTTATGACTAAACAAGGCATTTCCTAAAATTAATATGTAATTGAGTTATTAAAAAGACACAGAAACAAACCAAAGTCTACCTTGTGTAACATAAGAGTTTCCTTCCATAGCCTACAGTATTTCTAAAGTCAGATTATATATAAACCAAGAAAATTTTGTTTGTAAACTCTGGAAATTTTTTTTTTCATTTGAAGATCTAATTGACTTTATTAAGTAGTCCATGAATCTAGCAGCATCCAATCTAGCAACTAGAAGAGTGCCCCCAACTCTGGGATTTTTTAATACTAAGGCCCCTCTCCTGAACAAATCCTAGTGGAAGTGAATGCAAAAATAATGCATCTTAAAGTTTATTAAGTATGTGTTCAGAAAACCCAAAACACTCCTATGCCCAAGTTTACATTTTATTTTTATCTCTGGTGAACTCAGGGCCTACACACTAAACTGGGGGCCTAAATACACTTCTGGTATGCTTAAACATTCAAGTATATTATTTGGTGGTTAATTTTGAAAATTTATTTAGCTCAGCTGGTGTGGCTCAGTGGTTGAGCATCAACCTCTAAACCAGGAGGTCATGGTTCGATTCCCGGTCAGGGCACATGCCTGGGTTGCAGGCTCAATCCCTAGTGTGAGGCATACAGGAGGCAGCCAATCAATGATTCTTTCTCATCACTGATGTTTCTCTCTCTCTCTCCCTCTCCCTTCCTCTCTGAAATCAATAAAAATCTATTTAAATTAAAAAAAAAACACTTTAAAAGCTTTGATTTAGTCTCCCATAAGCATGAGCTTTGACATTTTTGTTATCACCAAGAAAAGGTCACATTCAGTGGCATAAAGAAAACAGTGAGGGCATTAAAAAAAAAAAAATCCCAAAATGTATAAATGACAGGTATTTTTATTTAAGTATAGGTGATATACAATATTATATTAGTTATATTAGTTTCAGGTGTACAATATAGTGATTCAACATTTTTATACCCTACAATGTGATCACCCCACTAATTCTATTTTTTTTTTTTTAATATAATGATTTCAGAGAGGAAGGGAGAGGGAGAGAGAAATAGAAACATCAATGATGAGAGAGAATCATTGATTGGCTGCCTCCTGCAAACCCCCTACTGGGGATCGAGCCTGCAACCCTGGCATGTGCCCTTGACCAGAATCGAACCTGGGACCCTTCAGTCCACAGGCCATTGCTCTGTCCACTGAGCCAAACCAGCAAGGGCACACCACTAATTCTAGTAATCATCTGTCACCATGCAAACTTATCACAATATTATTGACTATATTCCCCTTCAGCTTTTTCATCCACCCTTTCACCCTCCACCCCTCTGGCAACCATCCCTTTGGTGTTATTTCTATAAGTCTGTTTTTGCATTATTCTGTTTGTTTTAAATTCTACATATAAGTGAAACCATACAGTATTTGTCTTTCTCGGTCTGACTTATTTCATTTAGCATAATGTCCTCTAGGATCATCCATGTTGTCGCAAATGGCAAAATTTCTTTTTTAGCGTAATACACACACACACACACACACACACACACACTCATCTCCTTTATCTACTCACATACGGACAGACACCTACATTGCTTCTATATCTTGGCTATTGTAAACAATGCTGCACTGAAAATAGGGGTGCATATGTCTTTTCAAATTAATATTTTCAATTTCTTCAGATAAATACCCAGGGGTGGAATTGCTGGGTCATATTGTAGTTCTATTTTTAATATTTTGAGGAAACTCTATACTGTTTTCAACAGTGACTATACCAATTTAAAATCCAACCAACAGTGCCAAGGGTTCCCTTTTCTCCACATCCTTGCCAACACATTTGATAACTTTTTTATAACAGCCATTCTGACTAGTGTTCAATGTGTTTTGTTTTTTTATAATTCTTTTTTGTTGAAAGTATTACATATGTCCCCCTTTCCTCCCCCATTGATCCCCCCAAGCCCGCTTCAATGTGGTTTTGATTTGTATTTCCCTGATGATTAGTGATGCTGAGTAAATGCTAGTTTTTAAGGAAAAAAAAATGAAGGGCTTGAGTAGTTGGATGATAGTAATGTAAAAAGACATTTCGTTGTACACATGAAACTAGTATAATGTTATATGTCAATTATACCTTCATTTTTTTTAAAAAAAAGGATCCAGATTGTACCAATTAGGCTAGTAACATGATTACTGTTAGAGGTAGTGTTGAAATAAACTATTTCAGAACATAAAAATATACTGTTGAACGAAGTATTCATACTTGTCAAACTTTTTTTTTTTTTTTTTTTTTTTACCTTTCCTGTTGTCTGACCATATAAACCAAACATCTCTCGTAATCTCTCTTCACTGATGGCTTCAGGTCTGTCGATCTTATTCCCAAAAATCAGTATAGGCACATTAGCAATGGTTTCATCTGTCATTAGTGACTGAAAAAAACATGAAAGCAAAATGAAACACAGATGTTGATATAAAACCATCCGAAGGGCTTATTTTGACAAGATACCAAATGGGTATCAAGGACTTGTTCTCTGTCATAACATGTCAGTTTTGCTAACTTTCTTTGGCAAACTTTTCCTCAGTTTTAAGTGAGCTCAATGAACCCTTCACCTGAATCCTGTCTTCCTAAGGCTCCTTCTGTGATGCTCACACTGCTCACTCTGTGAATCAGTGAGGTACAGCAACCAGAGCCAACGCCTTGGAAATGGGCAGACTGATTTCATTTCCAGTTCTGCTGCTTCCAAGCTGTGAGATCTTGGACAAATAGGTCTCACTGAAGTTCACAGAAAATGGAGTAGTAGCACCTACGTTACGGAGTGGATTTGAGAATTTAATGAGGTAATATGTATAGTGTGGCCTAAGGTAGGAACTCAGTAATTCCCTAACCCTGTTGCATGACCACAGAACCTAACTGGACTTTTTCACATGAACAAGTATTTCCTTGCCTGTTCTGGGAAGAGGCGTAGGCATTCAACCTTCAAATCATGGACCTGCTCTCTCTGGGGCCCCAGATCTAGCACTGGCCTTGCTTGCTACTCCTGAGCCCCTTTAAGAAGCATCTGATCTAGAGGAGGTAAAGGGAAGTAGCTACCCATGGCCCTGCTCATTCCTGGGAGTGGTGACAAAGATGGTATGTTATACCATTTCCAGGTTCTGGCCAACTCCATCAGAAACTGGCAGCCGAGGATAATCGGGGATTCGTGTAGCAAACATGAGATATACTACAAGGACACACTGCCCAGAGTGAGCTCAAGTCTTCAGGAAGGAAGTCTGCGTTAGTACTTCCTCAATAGCTACTCCCTCTGCATTCTAAATAATCGCTGAGCTCCACAAATTGCCAGGAGTTACATCAGAGACTACAGAAAAGCTGCATTCTAATACCTAGATCTCCAACCTATTTCCTCAGGCTTACTAGTAATTCAACTGTTTAGTTTTAATTATTTAACTTACATCAAGTTCTTCTTTTGATTCTAACAGCCTCTCATGGTCTGCACAATCCACCAGAAATACAATGCCATTGATAGCAGGAAGGTAGTTTTTCCATACTCTTCGAGCTAACAAAAATAATCAGAAGTTAGATTTTATTTGCTGGTCAAACCTAGAAGATGGTTTGATGAGAGTCCAATAAGATATCAAGTGTAATTATCCCTTAGCTGCTGCTACTCCATATATACTCAAGTTAATCTTTTACCTAGTGTTGCCAAATCTTTCCAGAAGAAATTTCAGGCTTTCCTTGATTGTGGGCAAGTCAATACTTTGCCCCAATTTTCCCATGTTTTATAAGTAGTATTCATATCTGCTACCAATGATGGATAATGATGCTTGTTAAGTTCATTGGAGAACTGCTATTATTTTCATATGTAGTATTCATTTTTTTACATTTCTAGTTTATCAGGTTTTTTTTGTTTTATTTTTTTGCTGGGGATAAATTTGGAATCAGTGGCAGAAAAAATTAGTACTAGGTACAGACTTAAGTTAAAATAATAAAAGCATACTTACTGTTCTACTCATAACAGAAATAAACTAAAGTCTATAAAAACATATGGTAATTTTTTTCCATGACATTCTTTTCTAAAGAAAAGAGTTTTTGGAATGCCCCAGAGAAAAATACCTTTTTTCTCTGACTTCAGTTTTATGACATATCTTAAAAACAATATAGAAATGAAGTCTCAGATGAGCTCCATTAGGTTTTAACTCCCTCTAATCATTATATTCCAGAAATTACTTTATGTGTATTTCAAACAATTATGTCTCAAATGTGCTTTCTTTTTTTTTTTTAATCCTCACCCGAGGATATTTTTCCATTGATTATTTTTAGAGAGAGTGGAAGAGAGAGGGAAAGACAGAGAGAAATATCGATGTCAGAGAAACACATAGATTGGTTACCTCCTGCACGCACCCTGGCCAGGGCTGGGGCCAGGGAGGAGCCTGCAACCAAGGTACATGCCCTTGACGGGAATCGAATCTGGGAGCCTTTGGTCTGCAGGCCGATGCTCTATCCACTGAGTCAAACCAGCTAGGGTTCAAATGTGCTTTCACTAGTCACAGCCACTTAAAATCTTTTCAACTATCTGTCATATGAGCTTTTTAGAATGCTCACCAACTTTGTACTATTCTTTATTTACAAATTACTATGTGCTGGGTACTGCCAAGTCCTTCTGGGAATATAAAAAATGGACAGGATAAAAAAAAAAAGTGAACAGATTTTAGTCCCAGAAAGTTTAGGAGAAGAGATAAGGCAGTCTTTTCAAACTTGCAGACATGTACACAGATGCCCTACGTGCTGTGGAAGTACAGTTGAGAGTACTTCCAGCTGCAAGCAGCTCCTTGGGGAAGGTAGCAGCACTCACCCTGGGCCCTGAATGTGGGTCACGCATGTGCAGATGGAATGGCATGAGCAAAAGCACAGAGTGGGAGAAAACCAAGAGGGTTTGGTTTGGTTAGAATAAAGAGAATGGGAAGGGGAACATTGGGAAATAAAGACTTGAAAAGTAAACTGGAACCAGATCATAGAAATCCCAAATGCCAGATCAATAAGTTTGGCCTTTAATTTATAGGTAATGAGTTAGCCACTGAAGGCTTTTCATACAAAGCAGTAACATATTCATAACATGATTATGACAATAAGTGAGAGATGGATTAGGGCAGAGAGAAAATGGAGGCTCAATTTTACTCATTTGCTTTACCACCAAAAGCAATTCAAACTTCAATTAATCAGGAGTATCATAAAAATCACCCTTTGCTTTTAAAGCATTTATCTAGGGGTAATAATTCCTAAATTTTAAGTCTACTCTGGCTTTCCTTGAGTAGAATGAGATTTCATGCACTGGAACATAATGGTCATGTTTTTATTAAGTTAAAATAAAGCTTCCACAGGAGTAATAGAATCATACCTTGAACATGCCCTCCCAGATCAAACGTTGTAAAGGTCATGCCAGCAATGGTTAGTTCTTCTGAAGCTAAACAATAATAAAAAGTATTTTTACAACATGAAAATCAGAAATCCATTCATGGTATATATTGCTAATTTTGATTTACTTTAACTGAAAAAAAGTCAAACATTTAGGAACTGATAAAATAATTCTTTATTATAATTAGATATATTCCAATGCATATTGACGGTATAACATAAGTAATGGTAGTATTCAATTCTACCTACCACAAATCCATCACTTATTTATTTTTCCTTCTCTATTTCTCCTGCTAAAATGTTAATCTATTCAAGCAATTATTTTTTGTGAATTCTTCCAACCTAATAATTTCCTGCAAGTCAGCTTAAATGATACAGGTGAAATAAACAATTTTCTCTTATGGCTGTCAAATTTTATATGAGACAGTCTTTAATGACAAACACAAATATAATAAAAAAAAAATTGGCCATTATTTCTTCAAATATGTTTTCTGCTCCCTACCTTCCCCTTCTGGGACTTCAATTATAGGTCTCCTAGACAGCTTAATATTGTCCCAGAAGTCACTGAGGCTCTGTTCCTTGTTTTTCAGTCATTTTTTCCTCTGTGCTTCATTTTATAGTTTCTATTGCATTGACTTAAGTTCACTGGTCTTTCTTTCTGCACTACTGGCACTGTCTAATTTGCTATTAAGCCTATCCAGTGAAAATTTCATTTCAGATATTCTATTTTTATTTCTAGAAGTTCCATTTGGTTCTTTTAAAACATATATATATTTTTATTGATTTCAGAGAGGAAGAGAAAGGGAGATAGAAACATCAATGATGAGAGAGAATCATTGATCAACTGCCTCCTGCACACCCCCTACTGGGGATCGAGCCCGCAACCTGGGCATGTGCCTTTGACTGGAATCGAACCCTGGACCCTTAGTCCGCAGGCCGACACTCTATCCACTGAGCCAAACCAGCCATGACCATTTGATTCTTTTATATCTTCCATTTCTCGCATTATGTTCATGTTTTCCTTAAATCCTTGAGCATATTCATAACAGCTGTTTTAACTTTCTTATCTGCTAATTCTATCATCTTTGTCAACTCTGGGCCTGTTTCTACTGAATTGACTTTTCTCCTGGTTATGGATTATATTTTCCTGCTTCTTTGCATGTCTAGTAGTTTTTTACTTTTATCCTCACCCAAGGATACCTTCATTGATTTTTTAGAAAGAGGTTAAGGGGGAGAGAGAAATATTAACATGAGAGAAACATCGATGGGCTGCAATACCCACACACACACCCAGATGGGCATGAAACACGAAACCCAGGTATATGCCCTGACGGGGAATCCAACCCACAACCCTTTGGTGTAAGGGACAATGCTCCAACCAACTGAGCCACACCAGCCAGGGCTCTAGTAATCTTTTTATTAGATGGTGGATTTTGTTGTATTCTTTTGAAGAAAGTGGACTTCGTTCTGGCAGGCAGTTGATTGCAGATCAGTTTTTATGCTTTGTTAGGGAAGATTTAAAGTAGACTTTACTTTGAGGCCACTTTAATCCATTATTAAGGTAGGACCCTTTTGGAGTTTCTATCAAATGCCCTGTGTATTCAACCAAATCTTCCCATTCTGGCTGATGGGAACATGAATGATTTCCAATGCCATGTAAGCACTTGGAACTATTTGGCTAACAGATCTGCTACAGTCCCTCCTCCAGAAACTGTTCTTTGACTGGCTTTGTGGAGTTTTACGCTATGCGTGCACAGATTGGTATTCAGCCACAAAAATGTCTGGAGTTGTTTCCCTGCAGAGCTCATTCTTCTCTGGTACTCTTGCCCAGCAAATTCTAGTCACCTGTGCCTCTCCAAATTCTGGTCTCTGTCTCCTCAACCCACCAAGACTACTGGGTTATGTTTGGGTTTCGTCTCCCTGCCCCATGGTCTGAAAATTATCTCCTGTGGAAAAGCTTAAAGAAAGAAGGGTTTCTTTTCCTTCTCTCAGGAATCATAGTCATGTGCTAGCTATTGCCCAATATCTGAAAAACAGTTGTAGTATATATTTTTGTCCAGTTTTCTAGTTGTTTACAATGGGAATGTAATTCCAGACTCTGTTACTCCTCGTGGCCAAAAGCAGAAGTCCCCTACAATTACAATGAAAGGTTCAGTGTGACTGTTTACTATTCAGTATAACTGCTAAGGCTCCGGAGTAGTTTATCTTGTTAAAAATTCTGTACGTACAGTGCCAATCAAATAAATAATTACTGCAATTTGTGATCAAAGTGTGTTCCTTTCCATAAGGAAAAGATAATGGTTGGATGTAGTTGGAAAACTACCTCTATGGTTATATTCCCTGCTTATTAAAGAAGTCCCAGTTTGATTAATTTAAGACACAGAACACTGTTGATATCCCAGGAAATTTCCTCTAGCCCCCTCCCAGTCAGTCCCCACCTCCACCTCCACAGAAAAAAACTGATCTAAATTCTGTCACCACAGTCAGTTTTGCCTGTTCTAGAATTTCATATAAATAGTATCATATGGTATGTAATTTTTTATGACCAGCTTCTCCCATGCAGTATAATATGCATCTGTATGTATCAGTAGTTTATTCCCTTTCTTGTTCAGTAGAAGTCCATTGTTTACCCATTATATTTTTAAAATATTTTTTTATTGATTTCAGAGAGAAGGGAGAAGGAGAGAAAGACAGAAACACTAATGATGAGAATCATTGATTGTCTGCCTCCTGCACACCCCACACTGGAGATCGAGCCCGCAACCTGGGCATGTGCCCTGACCAGGAATCAAAACATGACCTCCTTGTTCATAAGTCGACACTCAACCACTGAGCCATGCCAGCTGGGCCCATTCTTTTTTTGATGAATATCTGAGCTGTTTCCAATTTTTGGTTATTACAAATAAAGCTAGTATAAGCATTCTTGTACAATGATTTTGGTGAACATATGTTCTTATTTCTCTTAAATAAATACCTAATAGTGAAACTGCCAGATCATAGGGTAGAATATATATGTTACTTTTTTCACATCTGCTTTTGATTAACTGAAAAATATAAATTGACTTGGTGACTTGAGCTGCAGAAAGGTTGAGATAGCAATTGTTTGTGCCACTACTTATACTCCTACTACTTAGAATAATGTCTGGCATAAAGTAGATGCTCAATAAATATTTGTTGAATAGGTAAAAGAGAGCAACATCAAAAAATTAAAACATGACTTATACACAATATAAGACCACTTTGTAGTCTCTTCCAATTCTGTTGTTTTTGCAGACAATTTTATAAACTCAATTGCACAGTATTGTTCTTGTATCAGAATCTTATTTGCCAAGTTCCACTCTCTTCTCATAATATAAAAGATTTGTCCATTTTATAAAATCTTCCTTTTTCAACACCACTAATAGTTTTATAGATAAAATCTTTACTTTGTTCTGTTCTCCTTCCTGGTACTTTATTTACTGAACTAAATAACTATCATATTACCTATTTTTTGGTGGAGTTCTCAATTTTATACTCATTATTTAAGGCCACACTCGTTATTTCATAATCAATCTGTGGATTAACTTGTCTTTAAATTCTGTGTCTACTTAACTCAGTCTTTTCAACAGTAAAAGTGAGATTCCAATTACTTATATGTTAGGCTTCTTTGTAATAACTGTTACTTTAACTTTAGTTTCTCAAAAGGTACCTATTACATAACCATATATATATATGATGGTATGTATTAAGTCATTATTAATGTCTTTCAGGAAGTCTTTCTTAAAGCACGGTAAATTATTTTAAAACTTTCCATAAGTGTGTCAATACATGGCTTCTTTTTTGGAATAATTCTATGATCTTTATATTAGGTATTGTTGAAGTTGTTAGAACTAGAAAAATAACTGGTTAATAAATGGAGTCACCAGTAAAGTATAAGAGTGTAATCTGGAAAGAAAACAACCACAATCTGTCCACTGAATAATGATTAAAATAGCACAGCTTTAAAATCTGAAAGAAATTTATGTATGTAAACAAAGTTATAGTGACTTATATAGCCTAAGTAGTATCTGGTTGGATAGACCTTAATCATGTCATAATCACTGAAACGGTAACTTTTTAATTGCTTTAGCTGGAGAAGAGTGTACTAACTGATAAGAAGATCTGAGTATTATTTCAAGACCTAAATATACTCCTGGTAGTTGGGTTACCTATTATTTACTATTTAAGAGCAGGTCAAATCACCTGATTATAATTTATCCATACAAAAAATCACCAAACAAAAAAAACCTTTCAGTTAGCGCCTATGAATCAGTATCACTAGATAAAGTAATAACAGTAACAATGTATGGGGGAATATACTTACTGGGATGTAACGTTGGGACATGTTGTCCAAGTCTGTCATCTTTTAGCATGTGTAGCAATGTTGTTTTTCCTGCATTATCCAATCCAAGAAATACCAATTTACCAGTTTTCTTATATAATCCTATAGAGAAAGCTTTGATTAATCAAAGTAATATCTGACACAGATTATCCAAATAAAATGACCTTCAACAAAATATATTAACAGTTTAGTTATTTAGCCGAAACCGGTTTGGCTCAGTGGATAGAGCGTCGGCCTGCAGACTGGAAGGTCCCGGGTTCGATTCCGGTCAAGGGCATGTACCTGGGTGGCGGGCACATCCCCAGTAGGGGGTGTGCAGGAGGCAGCTGATCGATGTTTCTCTCTCATCGATGTTTCTAACTCTCTATCTCTCTCCCTTCCTCTCTGTAAAAAATCAATAAAATATATTTTAAAAAAAAACAGTTTAGTTATTTAGATACTTTTCTTAATTACTCTGATTTTTTAAATAAAGAAACACCTATTAACCTTTTGAACTTTTAGACTTTATAAACTGGCCTGAATAAGCTTGGGACTCTAACTTATTTTTAGTTTTGAAGAGCTATTTTAAATATATTATAATTTGGGAAATCAATTCATTACTAAACTAAACTTCACCCCTATCAAAGAATGTGCGTTATCTAAACTTATCTGTAATGCCAAAATCCATCCCCTTGACAATTTGGGGGTAAATATATGTGTCTTCTCACTCATAAAATTATTGAAATCATGTATTTATGAAGACAGACCAAAAGAAAAAATAAAGAAAATTTAATGGATGAAAATAAATTAAGTATTTTTGACAATAAAAATTACAGCAAGGCCCTGGCCAATGTGCTCAGGTTAGAGCAGTCAGCCTGAACACTGAAGAGTTGCAGGTTCGATTCCTGATCAAGGGCACGTATCTGGGTTGCAGATTCCATCCTGGTCCCTGCTCAGGCACATGTGGGAGGCAACCAATTGATGTCTTTCTCACATCCTTGTTTCCTCTCTCTCTCTTCCTCTGCCTCCCACTCTCTCTAAAAATCAATGGAAAAAATATCCTTAGGTGAGGTTTAACAAACAAACAAAAATTTACAGTAAGTTTTTCAGTAAAAGTTTTGCTCACTGTCAAATTTCCCTGAGAATAAAATTAAGCTTTACAGGATTGCATAAAACTAAGCAATAAAAATGAAATAAAACACATAATTTTAGATGTATAACCAAGCATTGATAAAATCATAAATAAACAGAAAAAAAGACAGCATTGACCAAATTATAGACTGGCATTTACTGCAAAATTCCATATTGAGCCTTATTATTTTTCTTTAAAGATTTTTTAAAGAGCTGCTTTAGAGTTACAACAAAACTGACAGAAAGGCAGAGATTTCCCATGTGTCCCCTGTTTCCACACACATATAACCTCCCCCATTATCGACATCACCCACCAAAAAGATATCCTCTTTTTCTTTGTTAAAATATATTTTTATTTATTTTTATTCAGAGAGAGAAAGGGAGAAGGAGAGAGAAATAGAAACATCAATGATGAGAATCATTGATTGGCTGCCTCTTGCATGCCCCACGCTGGGGATGGAGCCCACAACCTGAGCATCTGCTCCAACCAGGAATTGAACCGTGACCTCCTGATTCATAGATCAACTAACAATTCGGATCCTTAGGGGAAGATTATCTTCCATATTTACTTGAGCTGGGATAAGACATTTGATCTTTATGAATTCTGACAAGTAACTTCTTTAAACATTTTTATTTCTTAAAAGGTTTCTACAGCCTGACCAGTGTGATTCAGTTGGCTGAACACTGTCCCATGCACCAAGAGGTCACCGGTTCCATAACCAATGAGGGCACATGCCCAGGTTGCTGGTTTGATCCCCAGTAGGGGGTGTGCAAGAGAGAGCCAATTGATGTTTCTCTCTCATAGATATTTCTATCTCTCTCCCTCTCTCTCTAAAAGCAATAAAAACATTTTTTGTTGTTGTTAATCCTCACTGGAGGATATTTTCCCATTGATTGTTAGGGAGAGTGGAAGAAAGAGAGAAAGGGAAAGACAGAGAGAAACACATTGACTGGTTGCCTCCTGCACAAGTCCTGACAAGAGCCCGGGCCAGGGAGAAGCCTACAATCAAGGTACGAGCCCTTGACTGGAATTGAACCCAGGATCCTTTGGTCTGCAGGCCAACGTTCTATCCACTGAGCCAAAACGGCCAAGGTAAAAACATATTTTTTTAAAATATATTTTATTGATTTTTTACAGAGAGGAAGGGAGAGAGATAGAGAGTTAGAAACATCGATGAGAGAGAAACACCGATCAGCCGCCTCCTGCACATCTCCTACTGGGGATGTGCCCGAAACCTGGGACCTTTCAGTCCGCAGGCCAACGCTCTATCCACCGAGCCAAACCGGTTTCGGCAAAACATATTATTTTTTTAAAAAGGTTTCTACATAGATTGTTTCTAACCAATGCAATCAATCTTACCATCCTTAAATAGCAAAAGTATATAGGATAAGATTCCAAAATGGAACACCAAGAACATTTAAACTTTAATCTGTACAGTGGGTTGGACTAAAATTTTTTTAATAAACCTCAATTTATTGTTCCACCCATTCATGCATTCATTGGTTGATTCTTGAACAGAGGTCGAACCTGCAACCTTGGTGTATTGGGATGACGCTCTAACCAACTGAGCTACAGGCCAGGGCATTTTTTTATTAAATTTTTTATTGATTGATTTTAGAGAGAGAGGAAGGGGGATATATATGTACACACACACACACACAGAGGGAGAGAGAGAGAGAGAGAAAGAGAGAGAGAGAAAGAGAGAGAAAAGGAAACATCAATTTTTATTGTCCCATTTATGTATGCATTCATTGGTTGATTCTTGTATGTGCCCTAACCAGGGATTGAACCAGCGCAACCTTGATGTATCGGCATGACACTCTAACCAACTGAACTACCCGGTCAGGGCTATTATTTATTAATTGCTGTATTATTTTCCATATGCACAATTATAAACCTACTTTTGCCCCATCCTGTAATATTCCTATTAACCACTTTAAGGAGTAGAAATTATTATTTTACAGATAAGGAAACTAAGGCTAAATTGGGTAAAGTAATTTGCCTAAGATTACATAATTTATAAGAGCTACAGTCAGTCATTAAACTTTTTTTTACAACTTCTTTTTTAAAATATATTTTTATTGATTTCAGAGAGGAAGGGAGAGGGAAAGAGAGATAGAAACATAGATGAGAGAGAGAATCATTGATCAGCCACTTCCTGCACGCCCCGCACTGGGGATCAAGCCCGAAACCCCAGGCATGTGCCCTTGGCCGGAATCGAACCTGGGACCCTTCAGTCCGCAGGCCGACTCTCTATTCACTGAGCCAAACCGGCTAGGGCTGTTTTTTACAATTTCAAAGATCACATTCTTAACTACTGGGTATATATATAAAGAGGCTCTAGACAAATAAGCACTTTTATATAAGTAGGCTTAAATGGATAACAATAGAGAATAAAGAGCCAACATTACCTAAAAACTGTAGCACACTGCTGAAACCACTATAAATCCAGTCAAATATGAAGGACATATCCAAATCTTACAGGGTCTGGAAAAAAACATGTTTGAATTTAGTAGACAACATTAAATGCCAATATACATTAAACAACAACAACATTAACCAACTCTGAGTAAATAACCCTACAACAATCTTACCACAAAGAATTAAACACTCTTATCCAGGTTGGTCTAACCTGATCTATACTGATGCATAAAAATGCTATTAAAATACTAAGTAGAGACCATTTTTTGCCCATCAAAGGAACCAACACAAAGAAGAAGAAAAAAAGAAATATAACAGCCAGGACTAGAAAAAGTGTGGTAAAAGAGGCATTGTTAGTGGCAGTATAAATTTCTACAAATCTTTCCCAAAACCAATTTGGCAATAATAAATCTGTTGATACCACTTGACCTAAGAATTCTACTTTCAGAAATTGTCCTAGCCCTGGACAATGTGGCTCAGTTGGTTGAGAATCTTCCCGTGCATGGAGAGGTTGCCAGCTGGATTACCAGTCAGGGCACATGCCCGGGGTACAAGCTTGATCCGCAGTAGTGGGTGTGCAATGGACAACCCATCAATTTTTTTTCCTCTCTCTCTCAAACATAAAATCAATAAAAACATTTTTAAAAAAAGAAATAGTTCTAAATATGGAAAAAGTTTATATATAAAGATGTGCATCAAAGTGTTATATAAGAAAAATTTTAGAAATAATCTATGTTCAAATTAAATTAATTATAGTACACATGACCTATGGAATATTTACCAAAAATGATGGAGTGGGGGCAGGAAGAGCAGGAAGAAGAGAAAGAAGAGAAGAAAATTTATGATAAAATAAGTTTCAAAGTCAGATTATACCTAATGGAATAAAAAACCTTTTCTATTTCTTTTGGTCTTTTGAAGTAGTTAGTACCAGATGGTAAATTTCTGTGTTTATCTTTTACTTACACTTTTCAAATTTTAATCATATTACTGAATGTTTAAAAAAAAATCTTGATCTTCTCAAGCTAGGCCTTCTCGATCATCAATAAAACTTTCCTTACCCTCCTCACCTTACTAGCATGAGCAGAATTTTGTTCCTGCAATCAGTTGATTTCTGATTAAGACAGTGATTGGCAAATTATGAAGCTTCATGTGTCAGTATCACAAGAATGAGATCTACAACGGCAATATATTCAGGGTATCCCAAAAAACGTATACACGCTTTAACAGCTGAGAGCTCAATTTTGTAAATGAAATGTATTTTAATAAATATTGCCTTTATAATTATTCAATGTGTGTATATGCATTTTGGGGGACACCCTATATACTAATATACAACAATCTAATATCTTAGTTCTTGTTTTACTCAAGTTGAAAATTACACCTCATTCTACTATTATCATTTTAGGTCATTTAGAAATTGAAACTTGTAGTCAGAGAAAATATATACAAGTAGCTTATCTTTTTTTTAGGTATTTCATATATGTTTTTCAAAGAGAATCATAGATTTATCGGGATGATCACTTCATAAGTTATATAAATGTGTGAAACTGAAAGGGGAGAGCAAAAAGTCAGATATTGTTAGATGATATGATTGGGTTAGGGACCTGCAAGCAGAGTAAAAATCAATGGGTGCTAATCAGTGAGGCAGGAGCCAGAGTGATAAACAAGTCTCAGACAAATTTAGGTATTTGGTCATGCTTGCTACATATGTATATGGACATAAGAAAGAACACTGACTCAACCTTTCAACTTAATAAAAACAGCAAAACAAACAAAAACAGCTACCATTTATTGAGCATATGGTCTAGCAGTTAAGAGCAGAAGCTCTGGAGCCAGGACTTGACCACTTACTACCTACCTGTAAAATGGAGATAACAGTAGCTACCTGAGATGGTGGTTGTGAAAATTAAATAAATTACACACAAAGCAAACAAATTAGTACGACACATCTTGCATGGAGTAAGCATTCAGTATTAGCTGCTATTATTATTTCTTCTTCTATATGGCCCACAGTACTAGGTCACCACTAACCACCCTAACAACCTTTCAAAGTAGATATATTACTGTTCCCATTTTACAGAAGAAGAAACTGACGCTAAAATAACTATAACTCAACTATTAGTGATTGGCACCTCTAAGTTTCAAACCTGGGTCTTTCTGACCTCCACTTCCAGGCCCTTTCCCATATAGTGACTCTAAAGAAAGAAAAAAACATGTATTTTTCTGACTTTTTGTTGTTGTTAATCCTCACCCGAGGATATTTTTCCATTGATTTTTAGAGTGGAAGGGAGGTGGAGAGACACATTGATTGGTTGCCTCCTGCATGTGCCCTGACCAGGGCCTAGAATCAGCCTGCAACCGAGGTACGTGCCCTTGACCTGAATCGAACCCACAACCTTTCAGTCCTTGAGCCAAGGCTCTAGCCACTGAGCAAAACCAGCTATGGCAACATATAGTTTTAAAGGTTAAAATTTACTTAAAGTATTATATACCATTTTTTAGTTACTTCAGCTTATGACTCTGATGTATAATCCTTCTTCCTCATATCCACATCCAATTATTCCCCAATTCTATCAATTTCTATGGAGAAGACTCAAACTTTCTTTGATTCCCACAGGAGAATCACCTAGTCAAGAACCTTATGTCACATGCCTAAACTGCTATCTTAATCTCAAAATTTGTTTCTCCCATTTGTACACACCCTCCAGAATGGTTTCATCAATATGTCATCTTGGACTTGACTTGCATAAGTCAGGGTGATTATAATTCCCAGTTTCACTCGAAAAAGGTCCTGATTTAGGTGTTAAATTATGTGACCACCCCATACATGTGGGTGGAGAGTCACTGGAAGTTTGTAAGCTGAAAGACCATCACTTGAGATGGTCTTTAAGGGACAGATAGGGGTGGAAGAACCAACAGACCCCAGAAGGGTAGAAGGTAGAACTAGAAGAGGCAGTGAAAAAACTAGAAAGCAAAGAAGTTAGCCCCATCATATACAGCTGCGGCGACAAGAAGACAATTGTTGAGAGCATGAGCAGCCTGCAGTGGCACAGTAATACAGGACAGCCTAAGGCCAGTACTTAAAGTACAGCAGAGCCTATCTACACGATTCATTAACTGTGTGATCTTGAATGAGTTACAAGTTTCTTCTGCAAAATCTTTCAGATGCTATAAAGATCAAATGAGCCCGGCCGGCGTGGCTCAGTGGTTGAGCGTCCACTAATAAACCAGGAGGTCACAGTTTGATTCCCGGTGAGGGCACATGCCCAGGTTGTGGGCTCGATCCCCTGTGTGGAGCATGCAGAAGACAGCCGATCAATGATTCTCTCTCATTATTGATGTTTCTATCTCTCTCTCCCTCTCCCTTCCTCTCTGAAATCAATAAAAAATATATATTAAAAAAAAGATCAAATGAGATACAATGCACAAAATAAGTATTTAATACCTAGTTGCTGTATTAACAAGTGAATGGACCTTAGCCGGTTTGGCTAAGTGTATAGAGCACCAGCCTGCAGACTGAAGGGTCCCGGGTTCAATTTCGGTCAAGGGCACATGCCCAGGTTGGAGGCTCGTCATTGATGTTTCTATCTCCCTCTCCCTCTCCTTTCCTCTCTGAAATCAATAAAAATATTTTTTTTAAAAAAAGTGAATGGGGCAGGAGGTTAATAGGTGGAGGCAGTGAGGAGAAATTCCTCTTTCAAAAAGTTTGAGATGAGCCCAATTGGTATGACTCACTGGTTGAGTGTCAACCTATGAACCAGAGGTCACAGTTCAATTCCTGGTCAAGGTACATGCCCAAGTTGCAGGCTCATTCTTCAGTAGGGGTTGTGCAGGAGGCAGCTGATGAATGATTCTCTCATCATTGATGTTTCTATCTCTCCCCCGCTCCCTTCCTCTCTGAAATCAATAAAAATGTTTTTTAAAAAGTGTGAGATGGAATGAGGGAAATGAGATTTTCTTTTTAAGGAAAGGTGAAGCTTAGAGTACGTTGATAAACTGAAGGGAAGGAGCTAATGGAAAGGGAGAGGTTAAAGATGAGAAAGAGAAGGAAGGAGTTAACCAAAAGGGGCAAAGTTTCAAGAGGAGACTGGGCTTAGAGCACTTCGGGTCCTCTAAGATTACAAGAAAGGCGGGCCAAGTATGTATAGTGGAGGTGGCAGCAATCTGACTCCAAAAGTGAAGAAGAGGTGTAGAGAAATTCTGAGGAGCAGAGCGAGGATTAAAATAGCCACTGTGCAGGAAAAGATCAAGTTAAAAGAAGAGTCAAGTGCTTGGCCGGAGTTGAAAAACATTTAGCAGTACCAATCTGCACTGATTTCCAATCTCCCCTACTCCTCCCCACCCTCACTCTCCAACAGTGCTTAACTTTAGAGAACATTGAGTGAAGGAGGATTGTGGACTTCCAGAACAGGACCTAATAAAAGACAAGGGAACAGGAAATTGAGAGTACTAGTAAGAGAGACTAAGGTGAGGTGATCAGAAGTTCAGGCTGAGTGGAAAAAGGTACAAAGGCAGTGGTGCATAGGGATGGGAATCAATGGCAGGGTTCTCAAAATATAGAACTGGGAGAAAAGGAGGAAAGCCTTTCGTAGAAAAGCAGGCATTGATGTAGTAAAAGGGTGAGGTGGGCCATAACTGTGTCAGAAAAACAGAGGCGAATGTGGAGTTCAAGAGAGACCCTGGCTAGATGGCTCAGTTAGTTGGAGCATCCTCCCATGTACCGGAGGATCTCAAGTTCGATGCTGGTCAGGTCTGCCACGTGCAGGAGGCAACTGATTGATGTGTCTCTCTCATCCTCACATCAATGTTTCGCTCTCCCTTCTCACTACCTCTCTTTAAAAAAAAAAAAAAAAAAAAAAAGGTTGTAGATTAATCTGAGAGAGAGAGAGAGAGAGAGAGAGAGAGAGAGAGAATGGCACCTAATTACTGCTATAAAATTTGTCCCAAAAGAAATAATTTAGCCCTGACCAGTTTGGCTCAGTGGATAGAGTGTTGGCTTAAAGACTGAGGGGTCCCAGGTTCGATTCCGGTCAAGGGCATGTACCTTGGTTGCGGGCACATCCCCAGTAGGGGGTATGCAGGAGGCAGCTGATCGATGTTTCTCTCTCGTTGATGTTTCTAACTCTCTATCCCTTTCCCTTCCTCTCAGTAAAAAATCAATAAAATATATTTTAAAAAAGAAATAATAACATATGGGGAAACTCTGCTTTAGAAGATAATGAGATATTTATATTTCTAAAAACTCGTGGTTTCTAAGAACCTTAAAACAAGCTGGGAGTCATTAGTCATTTTAAAGTACAGATAAAAATGCCTAACTAAGAATAAAAGTTACTTAGCCACAAACAGATACCTGAGCCCTGAGAACAGGTTACACAACACCATGACACCCTATTAAGACATGCAAAGAGCAAAGGTCAAGAACAAGGAAACATATACACATCAGCAGATTTATTTATTGCATGAACACCAAACAGGAAAAGCCCTATACAGATTGGAAACGTGATCTAACTCATGTAACATGAAAATCAGTAAAAAGGGTTTAGTGGAATAGAACCTCTCAGATTAAAAATAACTTCTTACACACAAAAAAACAACCTTCTTAAATAGGCAAATCCTTAGAATAAGTAGATTAGTGTTTTTCAGACAGGAAGGGCAGAGAAAACTGGGAGGAGTGGCTGCTAATGGGTACTGGGTTTCTTTTTGGGGGTGACAAAATGTTCTGGAATTAGACAGTAGTGATGGTTGCATAACATTGTGAATATGCTAAAAACACTGAACTGTATTTATAAGGGTAAATTTTATGATACATGAACTACTCAATAAAGGTAATATTAAAAATTAGTCACATTTACATGATCTTTTAATATTTACAACAAATTTATATAAGTAATTAGGCAGAACCATTTAGGTGTAAACTTTAGGGGGAAAAATAAATAAACTACAACAGGATACAAACACTCCAAAAAGTACTACTCAAAGAAAATAAAAGCTATGATAGTCTAAAGAGGCAAATATGATATCAGAGTAGGATTATACAATCAATACGTTAATAACTTTTGGAAATAAAGTATGGTAGAGCTATGGTAAAATGGATAGAGTACCTGTCTAGAATTTTAAAAATATGGATTTAACATGCATATTTTGAAATACGTACTATTATTTCATTCTGGAAAAGTCAATCTTTCTGAACCCCCGTTTCGTCCTACTATAATGGGAATAACCACCTGCCTCAGTGTTGTAAGAATGGTTAAATAGCCCTAACCTGTTTGGCTCAATGGATAGAGCGTTGGCCTGCGGACTCAAGGGTCCCAGGTTCGATTCCGGTCAAGGGCATGTACCTTGGTTGCGGGCACATACCCAGTAGGGAGTGTGCAGGAGGCAGCTGATCAATGTTTCTCTCTCATCGATGTTTCTAACTCTCTATCCCTCTCCCTTCCTCTCTGTAAAAAATCAATAAAATATATTTTTTAAAAAAAAGAATGGTTAAATATGATAATGTACCCCAAAACACCTTGAATACTATACAATATAAGATGGTGTTAACTCATCCACACTAAATTACTTAAAGTTCAGTGCACAAAACTTTAAATGCCAATTTTCAAATTAACTTCAATATTAACAATTTTTAGGCCTGGTCTGGTATGGCTCAGTTGGTTAGAGCACTGTCCTGATATGCCAAGATTGCGGGCACATGTAAGAATCAACCAATGAATGCATAAATAAATAGAAAAACAAAAATTGATGTTTCTCTTTCTCTCTCAAATCAATTAAATTTTTTAAAACATATTAACAACTTTTAATATGAGCAAGTTTTAAATATTCTGATTCTATTTTAAATATTAACAACACTGTCACTAGAAAGGGCACTAGACTAGTTTCCTTCAACTCGAGGTAGAAGGAAATTTCACTAGAAGAGATTAACCAAAATTTTTTACCTAATTGCGTCAGGTTTATGATTAAATCATGGACAGGTTTCAGGGGATGGAAAGTGGAGGAAGGGGGAGGGGTGACAGGGGAAAAAGAATAAACAAACAAATAAAAAAAGGTACAAAATCCATAAGGTGAGTATACTATCTGTAAGCTAATTTAGAATTATATATACCTCTCTCTCTAATTGAAATACTAGAAATATAAAGAAGGCCAAAACCTCTTCTTGACCATGTTTTGCAGAATTTCAGCAAGGCCCTGTGCATTATTAAGGATCGAGAGTAACCATGTTCGGTGTTTCAAGACAATACTGCTTTATAAATATTCTCCCCTAAAACTGTTAGATTTTCTTTCTATAGCCTTTAAAGTTTTAAAGCAGTGATGCAAATAAAAAACTCCAGAAAATATTTTAGGAATGAATACATAGCAATTACAATAATGGAACATGACCTTTTGGTTAATGTAATCAATAAAAAGTACACACTAAGTTTCCTCTAGGGAAAAGTGATACTCGATTGAAAGACAGTTAAATCTGTGACAAATATCAATAGTAGGATTCTTTTAAGAATGAAAAAAGGGGGGAAACCTCTATACTATAAAAAAAGTTGTGTGTGAGTACTGAACTTGCCTGTACTGAATTAAGAAAATGAAAACTGCCCTAGCTGGTTTGGCTCAGTGGATAGAACATCGGCCTGCAGACTGAAGGGCCCCAGGTTCGATTCTCATCAAGGGCACATGCCTGGGTTGTGGGCATGGTTCCCAGTAGGGGGCAGGAGGCAGCCGATCAATGATTCTCATCATGTTTCTATCTCTCTCTCTCCCTTCCTCTCTGAAATCAATAAAAATGTTTTTTAAATGAAAATTGACATAAGCAATGACAAATTCAATCCTTAAAATATTTTTAACTGAAATTGTTCTAAAACGTATACAAAAGAGAAACTTTTCAACACTGTGATTTTAAAATTATTTGCTTAATAATGTTTTGCAGAGAAATAATTTAAATGAGTTTCAGATAAGTGTACGTAAGGAAGAGGGTGGAAAAATCATCATTACTATAGAATTCTGATTGTTAAGCTTCAAATGATGTGGCAGTGATTTTTATTTTTAATAGCCCAATCTTTTGTCTCAATTCTTGCTTGAAATGCAAGGAAAGGGAAGTTAAAATGTACCTCATTTAAACTGCTAATCTTCGTAATTATTGAAAACACTTCTCTAACATTTCTAAAATAAAGGCAACACCTTCCTTTTCCGCAAACTCAGAAAATGCCAATGAACTATAAACCTGAAAGTTTTTAAAGTTCAAAATAGTTTGGTAATGAATGCAAATCCACTAAACAATATTACTTATACAACTGCTTTGATACATCAGCACCACTAATCATTGACAAACTGTAAAGCTTCCTTTATTCCTCCTCTGTAAAATAGGAATGATACCACTACCTTCCTTAGTGGATTGCTTTGAGCATAGCTAGCGCCTTCAAACAGTAGTCAATACATGTTCCTTTCCTTTTCTTTCATTTGCTTCAATGTGACTTATTCTTAACTGGTACTTAACACTGGACAGACGACATTCCTCAGAGTTGGACAGACCCTGATTTAACAACATGCAAATAATACTAGGTTGAATTTTTCTAGGTAAAAAGATCTCTTAACCTCATTTTGCCCACGTACCAAATACCTTAAATTTCTGACGAGTTTGGTGGTGGGGGGGGGGGGGTTTGGCCTCCCATGTCAGAGTTTTCGCTGCTGTCAAAACAAATTTCTATCTTGTTGTAAAATCCTGGAACAATTTATAAGTCATTACAGTTTCCCCCAGAAGTGGATTTTTCCCCACTCGTATGGGACTTGAGCTGTGGCACCTGCGCTGTGGCAAGACGTCAACTCCCAGTAGTAAAGCGCAGTGAGCCCCTAATTGGGAGGCTGAAAACAACACGCAGTGTCACAGCCTCTTGAGCTGTCAGATTCCGGCCGCCCTCGCCTTACCAGGTGAGGAAACTGAGGCCGAGGGCAAGGAAGGGCTTGCCTGCAGTTTAGAGTCATCTCGTTCTTTCCTCAAATAACCCACCGTTTGACGGCAGCGGTGTCCTGCCCAGAGGACCATCACAGCGGCCCCGCACAACAGAAAAGGAACCCACCCTGCCTCGCGCCGCCCGATTCCGGGGCGAAAAACAGGCGCCCCTTCCTCGCCCCGCCACAGGAGGGGACTATGGAGGAGCCCAGACCCAAAAAAGTGCGCCTTCCTCGGGATCCACAGCTGCCGCCCGCCGGTTCTCCCCAGAGGGGAGGCCGTCACTCACCTGCGATTGGAGAGAACGCGATTCCTTAATTGGCGTCAGCCCTACACCCTCCGAAACCCAACAGCTAAGCGCGATGGCTGCCGCTGCCCCAGCTCCCGTCAACTCCTTCCGGGCCCGCGGGTGCTTCACTCCTGATTGTCCGCAGGATTGTAGCACCGGGCAGCCCAAGTTCCGCCTCCTAGGGTTCCGCCGCCCGTCCCCCAGCTGAGCACGTCTCCCCGCAGCCCGGTCTCCCCACACCGGCCCAAAGGGGCTTCCGGGGCCCATGGGACTAAACAGAGAGGGAAATACCGGTCCCTACCTTGGGAAATTATCCGTGACATCTTTTTTTTTAAATGTGCTTTTATTGATTTCAGAGAGAGGAAGGAAGAGGCACAAACATCGTGTGAAAGAAACATCAAGGGCTGCCTCCTCTTCACGTCCCCTGCTGGGCATGTGCCCTGACGGGGAATGGAACTGGGGACCTCCTGGTGCATGGGTCTACTATGCTCAACCACTGGGCAACACGGGCTTTCTCGAATTCACAAATGATTTACAAAATGTAGCTCAGTGCCAGATAATGTGTTAGCTGCTGGGTATTGAGCTTTAACAAGACTGTCTTGACTCTGCAGTTCATTGTTAATAGATTAGCGTTACTTTCTTTAAATGTGTTTAAATGGGAATATTTTGGTGCCTGGAATGGAAGTGTGATGACAGTGCTTCCAAGACTGCTCTTGTAAGAAGGTTAAAACCTGTATTTTTATAAAAATGTATTTGAGCCTTGGCCAGTATGGTTCAGTTGGTTGGGTGTCCTCCCGTGCCCAGAAAGCTTGCAGGTTAGATTCTCAGTGAGGGCACATGTCCGAGTTGCTGGCTGATCTCCAATGGGGTGTGTGCAGGAGGCATTCCCATGAATCTTTCTCTCTCACACGGATGTTTCTCTCTCTCCCTCTCCCTTCCCCTCTCTCTAAAAATCAATTTAAAAAAATTTTTTAAATTTATTTGAGTCAAACAGAGGACAACTGGAAGCAAGATCTCAACAGATTGAGGAAAAAACACTTCCTAGAATGACAGTTTGCAGTTTCTTTTATGAATTTGAAATTAAGGTGGGAACATAAGGAAAATTAAATGAAGATGGGAGTAAACAAGGTGAGACTGGATTACAGTATGGTTAACAAGAGTATGTGCTCCGTTGAGATGCTTATGCCTCCTAGGAGTCTGAAAAAGAGAATTACTCTGGCATTCCAAAAGTGAGTTAACCTAGTGTACAAGAACAATTAACAGGGCTTGCTCAGGCAAAGATAACCCTTTTACTAAAGAAGTTATATGCTTGGGGCATGACTACCCACCATGATCTTCCCAGTTAGGAATTCATGATGAGATCAGCCTGTGAGGTTGCTTTCAGTAGAACCCATTTTTTAAATATATTTTTATTGATTTCAGAGAAGAAGGGAGAGGGAAAGAGAGAGAGAAACATCAATGATGAGAAAGAACCATTGATCGGCTACCTCCTGCACACCCCCTACTGGGGGTTGGACCCAAAACCTGGGCATGTGCCCTTAACCAGCATAGAACCTGGGACCTTTCAGTCCACAGGCCATCACTCTATCCACTGAGCCAAACCGACTAGGGTTCTGCAGCAGTTTTAATGTTTGCCCTGATGTTCCCATGTGTGCTAAGCCACTCCCCAGCCGTGTGCGTTTGTTTACTTGTAGTGACTGATGAATGTGATCATTTACTAGACCTATTCAGTATAAATTTAAAATTGCTGTAATACATACAGAAAACTTTTCTGTGAAATTAAACTTTTCTTCTTTATACATACTTAATTTTAATTACATAAACGTGTCTACTTAAGTAAAAATAGGTAAACTAATTTGTCAATTTTTTAATATACGCAGCATTTGGAAGACCTACTTTATTATATAATGTACTTTCAGCTTTAAGGGACACCCCCTCGCCCAAATTCGTCCATTATATCGAGGTTTACTGTATTAATTGAATAAATTAATTAATCAATGAAAGAACTGCGGAGGACATTCAGCAGAAAGTATAATAAAAAAAATAGGTTTAACCCTGGCCAGATGGTTCAGTTGGTTGGAGTGTCATCCCATACACCAAAAGGTTGCAAGTCTGATTTCCAGTTAGGGTACAAACTTAGGTTGTGGGTTCAATCCCCAGTCGGGGTGTGTATGGGAGACAACCAATTGATGCTTCTCTCTGGAATCAATGTCTCTCTCTCTCTCTCTCTCTCTCTCTCTCTCTCTCCCCTTCCATTCTCTCTAAAAAATCAATAAACATATATTTTTAAAAAATATATCTCAATATTTAAAAATCTAAAAATAAATAAAAGTAAATCCGATATATATACACATGGAGGGTGCAGATGCAGCAGAAGGGTCATGTTGTTCTGAAAAATAAGAGTAAAAAATTGAATGACATCAGTTTATTTTTTAATTATTTTTATTTTTTTATAGCAAAGGTGGAAATTTTATTTTTTTAATGTATTTTATTGATTTTTTTACAGAGAGGAAGGGAGAGGGATAGAGAGTTAGAAACATCATTGAGAGAGAAACATTGATCAGCTGCCTCCTGCACACTCCCCACTGGGGATGTGCCCGCAACCAAGGTACATGCCCTTGACCAGAATCAAACCTGGGACCCTTGAGTCTGCAGGCCGACGCTCTGTCCGCTGAGCCAAACCGGTCAGGCTGGAAATTTTACTGAAAAACAAGTACAGACTCCCATGTGGGGAGGGGGAAAGAGTCCCACAGAATGGACTCCCACGTGAAGAGGGGAAAAGAGTCCTCGTGACATCAGTTTAGAAATGTGTATGGTAGTGTAGGGTAAGTATAGGTAGTTGACCAAAGAAATATCAATACCCTTAACAACTAGTAATAGCTCTAATAATTTTTTCTTGATATTTATGTGACCACATTTTAAGAAGTCAGAGAAGGATTTGACAATGTGTAGACAATAGTAAACTATTTTTCATATGCTGTCTTACCAGTTAACTTCCTATTGTTAAGTTAGGGTAGGCAGATGACAAATGCTGCTTTCCTTCTCAATAGTTTAAAACTGACTACATTAAAAATGTACAAAAAAATTTAAGAGACTTAACTATAGTTTTGGGAGGAGTAATAGTTACATGGATTTTTAGGGCTGGAACAAATTTTAGAAAAAAAAGTTGCTTACGTATTAGCAAATTATTTGTATATTTAACCTGATTTAACCAATGAGGATATTTACTTTTTGAAATGGCTAATCCTCTCCATCAGTTTTTTTCTTTGGACACAGATATTGCTTAAACAGAACAAAGTTCAAAGAAGCGTGATTTAACCAAATCAAACTCCTGTGCCAGCGTCAACAAACCAAGATCATTAAGGAATTGCATAAAAAAGAGAAAGAAACTAATGCAATTTTGAGACCAGGTGTGAGCATTTGCCCATTTGAAGAGTCACCCTGATTTTCTGTCTGACCTCAGGAAGATTCAGTTTCTCTCTCAGGTCTATTTTCTCTTTACAAGATTGAGAAACTTGAGCCTGGCCCATGTGATTCAGTGGGCGTGCAGGAGGCAGCGGATCAATGTTTCTATTGCTCTCCCTCTCCCTTCCTCTCTCTCTAAAGTCAATAAAAACATTTAAAAAAAGATTGAGAAGCTTGAGCTTGTCATATTTTTAACTGTTCTTGGATATATGATTTGGGACTTTTATAAAACAGTTGGGCCAAAGTATAATCTTCATCCTAAAGAAGTCTTAATACTTGTAACTTGTACAAAGAGTTGTGGAATTCCACACACAGCAAACATATTTTAGTAAGGTTCTCAGGAAAATGATTATATAGAATTAGGATAAAATTTAATACTTTTGAATTCTTACTGTTTGTTTTTCAGACCTGAGATAGCAGTTTAGGTCTTGCTCATTTTGTATATAATTTAACCTTTTATAGCAGGCATTTGGTATTAAATAAGTTGTACTTCACCCTTCAGAGATTGTGAAACCTTTGGTATGACATTTTAGTCAATAGTATAAACCTGTAGTTTAAAAAAGGGGTTTATCATTAGCTCAGAGCAGGAAAAAACTACCTAGAATGGAGGCAGCTAAATTGATATTGACTAATCACTCCAGTTTCTATCTCTCTTTGGCCTCAAAAGTAAAAAAAAAAAAAAAAAAAAAAAAAGTCTACTTGCCAAAGAAAAAAGTGTACTCTCCCAGAAGGGAAGTTTTTTTTAAGTTATGTTCTGGTCTTTTGGTTCCGTAGGGTGTGTGTGGCGGGGGAGGTTGGCGAAGACTTTGGTTTCAGGTGCAACTGGATGTCAAAGTTCGCTTCTCTACACACGCTTCAGCTGCATGACTTGCATTTTTGGTCTGTTGTCTCTGAGGACTTGTATTATTTGCATCTTCTTCCTTCCCTGGCCTTTTTTTTTATTTTTATTTTTTTTAGTTTATTGATTTTAGAGGGGGTGGGCGGGAAGAGAAAGAGAAAAAAACCACACTGACTTGTTGTTCCACTTACTTATGCATTCATTTCTGATCTTGTATATGCTCTAGGACTTGAACCCACAAACCTGGCATATCGGATGGATACTCTAACCAACTGAGCTACCTGGCCAGGGCCTCCTTCCCCTGCTTTGACAGCAATTGTGGGCAATGAGTTTGGCCTAAAAAGCTTTAAGCAAATATCAATACTCTCATGAATAGATGTCAAGGGCAAATAAGATATCATAGTTGGAGCCAAATTACAAATATTGATTTAATTTAAGAGGTAGGATAGAATAGAGAAATCAGAAAGGGGGGAGGGAGTAGATTGCCAAAGCATTTCTTGCTTCCATTCTCTGTTTGACACCTCTTTTCTCTGATTTCACACCTTTCTGGGATATTTTTTTAAAATATGTTTTTATTGACTTCAGAGAGGAAGGGAGAGAGAAAGAGAGAGAGAGAGAGAGAGAGAGAGAGAGAAACATCAATGATGAGAGAGAATCATTGATTGGCTGCAACCTGTACTCTCCCGACCAGGGACCAAGCCCACAACCCAGGCATGTACCCTTGACGGGAATTGAACCCGGGACCCTTCAGTCCCCAGTCATCACTCTATCCACTGAGCCAAACCAGTCAGAGTCCTTTCTTGGATCTTTATC